TCCAAAATCACATCCGATTTTTGATCACCCTGTATCAACTAATATTTTTTGCCACTGAATAGACCTTCAAAAGTAAGGACAGGGACATGTAAGCCGTGTTCCTCGATTTCCAACTTTTTGGCTACAACAGCCAAAATTGAAAATTAACCTAAACTGCACGAATATCTTTGGATGATGTTTTCTCGGAAACGGCTGCTCCAATCGAGATCAAACAAGTATTCCTTTTTGACGTAGTTTTCAATGTAGAATGTAAAAAAAATATGGATAAGTCATTACCAAAAACACAAAAAAGTTATGAATAATCAAAATTTTCAAAAAATTCCCAAGTACACCCCTGACGAAATAATTTCTTTTTGAAGGTGTCAAAAGGTCACTATTATTGATCATATTTAACAGCCAAAATTTGGTTCTTTTATTTGTTTCCATTTTTAAGAAAATTCAAAAAATCAAAATAAAAAAAATGATTTCGAGAGGCTGTTGCTCGCTTAGGGGGCACTTTAGGACATAGGTCTATAGGAACTTTTTTTCCATTTTTTGGTTAAGGAATCTGCCTGAGAATTTTGGGACACATTTTAAAGGACACCCTGTATAAATAAAAATATGTTTTTAATCAAATTATTTTTTGAAGTTTTAATATAAGCCAAATTTTTTTATTAAAAAATCAATATTAATCTAAACAAAATATTAGGGTTTCGAAGAACTCCATAAATACGGCAACGCTGAATATCTTATTTTACGAATTTATAATTTTTATGAATGAAATGTAGTACCGTAACCAGCCGCAACGTTGCCAATCAGGTATAACAGCTATTTTGTATTTCTGACAGTATCTGACAGTTTCTGTGTGACTTATTGATTTATTCATTTATAAAATACTATTTTTGTGAACTTTTGTGAGAAATATAAAGAATTATGGTACATGCATGTGTAGTGTTCAAAAAGCTAGATCATTTAAGTCGAAATGTATGGTTTCATCGGTAAGTATTTTTAGGTTAAGAAATGTTGTTTTCATTTGAACCAGTGGAGTAGGGCTTGTACAAGATTTGATACAATTTCTTATAGAATTTAAATTATATAGGATCACATAGTAAATTGTTTGAAAAATGATTATCCACTCTAATTTTTCAGACAATTTACTGCAGGTTTGATAATATACAATATAAATTGTACAAGAAATTGCATCAAAAACTTGTGTAGTCTAAAACAGTCTTAAAACAGTTTTTAAAGTGATATTCCTTTTATAAATTAGTAAATTTTTCTTATACCAATAAATAAATATTGAATAGTGGCAAAGAAAATTTAACGTAAAATGAAGAATACCTTAAAAATGATTTACCTATTGAGCACCTATACATATTTTTTATTACTCTATTTAGGTTTCCGCAAGATCCTGAGAAAAGAAAACTTTGGTTTTCTCTAATAGGAATCCTTGAAAATCAGCTTCTTCGAAAAAACCCAGAGTTGTGTTTAGAACACTGTTTTCCTGAAAATGTTTTGGTACGTGCAAATGGTACTAGATATATTAGAAAAGATGCAAACTCCAGACGGTGTGAGGGCTTTCTATTTTTGGATGACTTATCCAACAGGTAAAAATACAAAATATTAATTTTTTGTTTACCTCTAAACATTATTTATTACCTATATGTATGTATATCTAATGTATGGGTTTTTGGAACACCACCTGCTGCAAAAAGAAACGTTGCTGTAAGTTATAACATTAATAACTAAGCATAAAATAATTAAATGAAATTTTAGTTAATAAAATTAAAGTATTTTATATATTTATAACATTATTTTAAAAATTTTTACAGTTTTTTACGATATTTTTTGCCATACCATGTTTTTTTGTAATTATTAATTAAAAAATTATATATTTTTAGGACAGTGTTTTATTTAGATACCCCTACCTACTTAATGTTAATTTAAAATTTTAAATAATTTTGGTTAACATCATACCAGGCAAATATATAGTAAATGCCAATAAACTATAAACCAATAAATATTAAAAATTCGCTTGTATTTGAATTTACTTGTACTTGAATTTACGTACATGAAAAATCAGCAAGTATCATGCAAAACTATTGTCATATAGTAGTCATATAGTAGTAGTTAAAATAAGGTGACCTTAGCCTGGGTTCCAGGCCATGAGGGATATCAGGGCAACGAAAAGGCCGACGAATTAGGCCGAGGAGGCTCAGATATGGCCATGACAGGCCCCGGACCTTTCTGTGGAGTTGCTAAGGCATTGTGCAAGGCATCCATTAAACAATGGATACAAACAGAGTCTCAAGAATGGTGGAACAACTATCCAAGACTGAGACAAGCCAAACAGTTTATCAAGGAACCATCGGCCAAGTTCACGAAAGACCTACTGGATCAAAAGCGTCAAATCGTTAGGATAACAGTAGGCCTTCTTTCTGTCGCCTCAAAAGGCACATGAGTGTCATAAATCCAGCAGAAGAAGCAACTTTGTGCAGGTCTGTGAAGAAGAAGAGGAAACAATATTCCACGTCCTGTGCCAATGTGAATGCCTGGCTGGAACGAGGTTTCTAACATTGGGCGAAGAAAAGCCAATTGCATGCAACTACATGCGGGAGCCACTGTCAAAGCTACTGAGACTAATAAAAAAGACCAGGCTAGACGACATACTCTAAAACAAACAGGAGTCCCACAAGAGATCTAAAAAGGTCGCGGTGGACAAGGACAAATAACGTCCAACTCATAATCTAATCTAATCTACCTACATGAAAAAATCATCATAATTATATTACTAAAAGAATATACCTACATATTTACGTATTTTTTTAACATACTACTCTAACAATACAGGTAAGTTTAAAACTCTACGCCACTGGCGAGCATATTATGGACACTGTTTACAACGTTGCCAGCCGGTCATAAGAGATCTGTCTTTCTCTCTTCCACTCACTAACAATTTTAAAACAATAACAGTCCGCAATTGTATGGGATTTATGAATGAAACATTTTGTTTATATGTTGTAATGTCTTTGGCTGTATACAATTTTTGTGTATCAGCAATGTTTAACGAGTATAAAGTTGACAAATGACATGTCACGAGGAAGCAAAGGCATCTTTTCTGCTTCATTTTATCTGTTATAAATTTGAGACGTAAAGCTGTTAAAACGTCCTTCATTAAACCTATTTTTGAATAATAATATTTTTAAATAAAATTAACTAGTAGAAATATTAAAAAATTCACGTTTAAAACTCAAATATTCTAAGACCACAACTGACCTCTTACACATTTCTTCAGTAACCAACATTTTGTTGACTGCAAAATTATACCTTATTAGGGAAAATATTATTACAATGCTAATTATAAAAGGAGTATAAATACCATTTTTGAATATTTAGTCCAGTTTAATGCTTAATCATAATAATATTAATAAGGGAGTATAAATAGACCCTTAATGTTCCATCCATAATATATTTCTTTAGAGTAATTTTAAAACGATTAAATGTATATTTAAGAAGCGCATGCGGTAATTTATTTAATAGTCGTGTAATTTGATAAGAGTAAGAAGACTGGAATAATTTAGTCCTGCGACTTGGAGAGGTTAGCTTAAATTTAAATGTAATGTTTATGTTGTGAACATCTGTGCGAAAGGTGGCACTTTTAATTACTAGGTTGAGTACAATAACATATCAAAGTTTCAGATAATTTGACCGGTCGCCACTTCACGTAAGGAAATACATGAGGGGTTATTTGGATAATTCATGACATCTTTAAAAATGTATATGGAATATCAAAATCAGGAAGGATTACAAGAAAAAGAAATTATTTTTTAAATTTTAGCTAAACAAGAATAGGTTAAGGGTTATTTTTTCTATTATGTGTTTTATGTTTATTTAATAAAATTATTATAAAATTATCCTAAGAATAAACTCTTAAATTAACCAGTCCCCGATAAGGTCACATTAGTAGGGTCAGTTTTGTCGAATAAAATTTGGAAAAAAAAAATTCTTCAGAATTGTACAACAATTTGATTTTGGCCATCTGGCAACGCTGGTGATGGAGCAGTCGAGTAGGAGAGTATATGAGCACTCTCTTGAGTTAGGGAATAGGGTTCCAGGATGAGCCAACGCTCATTAAATGTGTAGACCTTTAGAATGACAAGAGATAGTAGTTTGCAGTTTTGACAGTTCAATAAGTCATCTTATTTGCCTTCATAATCATAAATAGAGCTAGGTGTTACATAACGTCCTCTAGTTGATAATTGGAAGATTAAATGTGTTGTTTTTATTTCTGAAATCTACCTAATGCTCTTTATATGGAGTCTGCGTTTGTGAAAATCGGTTTAGGCATTTGGAAGTTAGTCTTTTTTTGTGTCAACGAAGTACATTACTTTAAACAGATTTAGAAAAATTACTCAAACAAAAGTTTTAGAATAAGCACTGTAGTTTTTAAAGTTGACATTTTTAACCAACATTAATTAAGGAATATTTTGTAAAAACGCAATTATATTTTGCAAAAAAAAAGATTTAAAAGGATTAAAACTTGTTTAGTTACTGCATGGTGCAAAGTCTTAGAACAGAGCATACTATAACATGCCAAAATTACCAATACTCTCCAATTGGATAATGTTAGTTAAGTACTCTAATTTTAAGAAACTAAAATAAAATTGTAGGTTGGTCGCTGCCGACTAGTACGAATAAATTTATACAGAAAATTTATTTTTAAATATAAATTAAAATTCCTCGGTAAATAGTCAGAATAAAAGATATAGAAGAAGAATAATAATCCACTGCTCTTTAAGGTCTTAGGGACTAATATCTTGAGAATTTTGATTGATGAAAGAAAGATATTTATAATTGATAATAATATTTACATCTCCAATAACAGACCAGAAAAACCAACGATAAGTTTTTTTTATAAAAAATCTGGTGGAAAGTACATATTTACAGTTGTTAATCTATTATTATTGAAACATATTTTGACCACAACACAAAAGTAAAACATTTTATTTTTGTATACTTACTCATTTTCTTTTGGCAGATGTTTACAGGAAAACGTCGATCGAACGCACAAGATCGGCTTTTCTCAGCATGGTACTTTCCCGGCAAGCGGCTGAACCTAAGGCAACGATCGAAAATAGCCTCTATGACATGAGTCAAAATTCATTAAAATCCGACCATCAATCTGAGCAAGTTCGTCGGAACTGAAATCAAATCAACAACATGGATAGGCTCGTTCGAGTTGGGCAGAGGAGATATTTTAATTTTAGATTACGATGAAAATGATTTGTTCGATAGTACGGTCAATGTTAAACGTGAATTTTCTTATGTAATTTCACTTTTGTTTTGGTACAGTTCGACTGTTTCAAAATATAAACACTGCGTAGCTCATTTTCATTTAAAATATGTACAATTAAGAGTAATAGATATTGGATATAATGGCACAGGACAAAATAGCGTTAGGACAAAATAGCGCAAGGACAAACTAAAGCAAGGACAAAATAAGGCATACAAGATATTTTTTTTAATTAATGTAATTCATTGAAATAATGGGTAAGAAATATTGTTTGTGAAATGCTTCTGTACCGTTTTAATTCGTTATTAGATTAAATTGCTTATTTAAATTATTATTATTTATTTGTTTTGATATAAAATAGATAATAAAAATATAAAAAATCGGTCTTATTACTAACTTTAACTTTAGAATTGTATTAACATATTAACATAACTTTAAATAGTGGTAGCCGCTATAGTTGCGCACTATATTCTCCTTGCGTTATTTTATTCTTGCGCCATTTTGTCCATGCGCCATTTTGTCTTGCTCTATTTTGTCCTTGCTCTATTTTGTCCTTTCGCTCTTTTGTCCTTACACTATTTTGTCTTCCGCTCTTTTGTCATCCGCTATTTTGTCCTGCATAATACAGTATTTCCGAAATCAGGACTGTCCAATTTCAAGTAGCCCAAGGGCAATCAAGTTGCGGTTATGAGGTCCGCATTCCGCGCTATTGTACGCAACTTTATCAGTGATTTGTAATAGGTAAAAAAAAACTTGTTTCTATATTTTTACATTGTCAAATAAATAAATAAATAAATAAATTCATAGGAAAAATTAGCGGGAAGTTGGGGGTGCTGGTTTTCACAGTGGTTTTCACTAACTAGTGTATCAATAATAACATTAATATTTGTTGTTGACAATTGAAGTGACTCATCAGAAAGGAACGTAAATTTTTAACACGCTTTTATTAGCATGCTGGCAAACCGGAACATCACTTCATCACTGCAGGGAGAGACTGCCACTTTCAGGCCTGCCAGAGGATGTCCACAAGGCGGCGTACTTTCACCCCTACTGTGGACTATTCTGGTGGATAACCTGCTAGACGATCTCTCCCGATAGAGGGTGGATTTCCAATGCTATGCGGACGATCTGGTTATCATAATTAGAGGAAAGTTCGAAGAGGTGATTTCCAACATCCTTCAAGAAGCCCTTAATACGATCAACAGATGGTGCGAAAGGGAGCAGATGTCTGTTAACCCCCGCAAAACTGCCTTCACCAAGAGAAGAAAACTCAACAAGCTTCGACAACCTACTTTGGCTGGGGAAACCATTCCTTTTGCGGAGGAGGTGAAATATCTGGAAATCACACTAGATAAGAAACTTACCTGGAACCCCCAATTGGATAAAACCATTAACAAAGCCAGATTATCCCTCTGGACTCTCAGAAGGATATGCGGCAAAGCATGGGAGATCAGTCCTCAACTGATCTATTAGATCTACCAAACAGTGGTAAAACCCATGGTTACGTACGGCTCTGTCGTCTGGTGGGACAAGGGACTCCAACGGACGGCCAGAGCAAAGCTGGCTGGAATACAGCGGCTTGCATGCCTCGCCTTAACTGGAGCAATGTCAACTACACCTACGGACGCCATGGAGACCATGCTGGACCTAACCTCTCCCCACATTCTGCTGGAAAGCGAGGCCAGAATCGCATTCTATAGGCTCCTGAAAGTGGGTAGTCAATGTTACGAAGAACTGCCGTGGGACAAGATGGGGCTGATGAGTGAAATTAATAATCACCCCATTCTCGGCATGGTCTCGGACTCGCTAGTTCCCCGACAGTATATAGAAAAGCCATACAGCGTCCTCATCCCAGAGAGAAACGCATGGAGCAAAGGGGAAAACCCTCTTCCAGGCAGACTATGCGTTGTACACGGACGGCTCCAAAACTGGAGTAGGAGCGGGAGTTTTCGGCCAGAGGCCTAGAGTTGACATATCAATAAATATAGGCTCTCTGGCCACGATCTTCCAAGCAGAAATGTTTACTATAGAATTGGGAGCGAGAGAGTTGATCAATTTTCTCCCCGCAAACAAGACTATAAAGATCTTTTCAGATAGCCAGGCAGCCCTTAAGGCCCTGAGCTCCAATCCAATCGAGTTGACTCAAAGCTGATTTGGAACTGTATAAATAGCCTAGAGTGTCTCGGTGCCCGAAACAAAGTTACTTTGATCTGCGTTCCGGGACACAGTGGTGTGGAGGGCAACGAAAAAGCCGACGCACTTGCTAAAAGAGAAACCGAATCTGCGTTCATAGGACCAGAACCATTACTGGGCATTGCAAAAAGCACTGCCAAACGAATTATCTCAAAATGGACGGAGGGTGCAACACTCACGAACTGGAGAGATACCCCAGGGCTAACCCATTCGAAGGCGTTTATAACCAACCCTTCCATGAACGCTTCTGCTCAGATCCGAGAATGGAGTAGGAGAGATCTACGCATTTTCACTGGACTGATGATAGGACACTGCCGTCTGGGCAACCACATGAGAAGGATAGGTCTGCAACAAACATTGGACTGTCGATTCTGCAGCGTGGAGGACGAGTCTGCAGAGCACATTTTATGTATCTGCTCCGTTCTGGAAAGAACCAGGTTCCAGATCTTCGGATTTACCCGACTGGAGCCTACCGACTTTACAGAAGTCTCACCCAATTCAACCATGACCTTTATCAAAAGGTGTGGCTTGTACGGTGAACTATAAGTTAGTCATGAGCCACAATAGACCCATCTGGGTCGCAGTGGAAGGCGATGAGATCATCCCACTCATTTTCAACCTAACCTAACCTAACCTAGCTTGGTATGTATGTATCTATGTAACGGAATCTTTGAACGTGATTGTCACCCCCTTCAAAATGTCGGATTGATTTGTAACTTTGCACACTCATCAAGGACCGATGACAATTCAATAATTTAAATAATTTGTTCCAGTTTCCTGATCAGGACCTTCAGGATTAGCGAATTTCCAAATCCGATACCGTATGTTATTCCTGTGGTAACTTTTTATCAAATTTCATTCAATTTTAGGGGTTGAGGGGAGGGGGTGCATTTTTTACCATCTCTTTCGATCCTCTATTCATCTATGTACTCATTATTATGATTAGTCCCAATAAAAACGCAGCTCAAGTTCGCTTTAGATGCAGTTAGTCAGTTATACCTGTGGTAAATTTTTTTGAAATATTAGTAAACGATTCCGCCGATATCACAGAGGTTGTATAAAATGGGGATATCGGCGAAATCGTCTAATCTTAAGGTGGATTTTATCGAAATCACCGAAATCTTAAGAATTTTAGGTGATTCCCGAAATACGGATACGTTTTGACCTTAGAGGTTTACGACTCCGTTTTCTATAAACAAACAAGTTCAAAAAAGTTTAGCACTAATTTTTCAATTCAATACAAACAAAACTGAATATATGGTTGAATATATTATATGGGCGGAAGTATATTTGTATAAATTAAATTGAATAAAAAAAGTTTGTAGAATAGTACAAAATAACTAAAAAGTAGACGTTTTAAACTAGTAATTATTAAGCTTTGTGACAGAACTGGTAAAACAAAAATGACAAATCAACATATTATGTCAAAAACAACAATACCCTGGCCAACTTGACAAGCAGTGAAATTAATTTAAAATGTCAGGTTGGATTAATAATTTTTTCCAAATTATGGTGTGAAATGTTCTTATCGAATACCACGCAAGCTTAAATTATTCCTGGTCATTTTCTTTCGGGCACGAATATTTAGAAAATTTTTGCTTGTTTAAGTCTATACGGTGATTTTTTCAGTATCCAAATTTTTTCAGCATCTTTGACATCTTCTTTCAATATTTCTATCTTATTTCTGATTGGTGAGAGCTCACTTTCGTGATTATAAACTTGGTTTAACGAAATATAAGTGTTAATATGTGAAGTCCTTGAATCTTACAAGATTTTGAGAAATTATCACTTCAACTCACACATATATTCCTTCTCAAGAATATAGTGTTAAGAAAGAAGGAAATCCTATAATTTTGCAGATTAAAAGATTAAAATGTTTTGCAACTGAACATAAAAAGAAAACGACACAAGCAAACATTTTTCACAGAACCCAACAAACAATCAACTGCCGGGAAACTGATGGCCCTTTGATGAACATGTTAGTTAAATCTTGAAATATTGGTTGATTGATGTTGGTCTTGCGTTGGCAGTCACTTGCCCATTTCATATGTTTGCGATTTTCAAGACCTCATATTATTTTATGTTATCTGCAAAATGCAAATGGCTTTTGGCTAATAGAAACAAAAACGTGGGTATTATTCAATGAAGACGTATTTTCAACCTTTTTTTATGAATATCACTTTGATGGTACTTGCAAAAGATGTTTCAAGTTACTGAAAGACAATAATATTATTAAGTGATTACAAAGATAATGTATTCTGTTATGCCTGTAAAAACTGAAATGAAAAAAAGGCTGAATGAATTATATTTCACATGTAAAGTGAAATAATTGTTATCTGTAAAAAAGCGGTCTCTCGTATTAATTTATTATTTTTCTTCATATAAATAGATATCGTAGTAATAATCCTTGACTATTATTTAGAAACTGATTGGCTTTTTGATTAACCACAACTGTAAACACATTTATTGCACTTCCATAGAGACAATCTACCAATTAAATATAGGTGCCTATATATGCAGGTTTTATGTGTTAATAGAACTTTAAACGGTTTGAAAATGACAATAATGTTTAATATATCATTATAATATTTAAATATTTTTTTGTTGATTTATTGCGTGTTTAGAATAGGTATGAGATACAAGTTTATAGTTTTTCATAGAAAATTCATACATAAATATTATTTATTTTTCATACAACTCGTAAAATGTTTAGATTTTTTTATTTATTTTTATTATTCTCATTTTTTTCCTGGTTGTACTAAAACAACATAAAATGATAAATATATTGAATTTTATTAATCTAGCTAACCAATATTTTTAGGAATATTGGTTGCATTACTTTCTCAGGTCTTAAATAATTGTATTATATCTCCATAGACTTGATGGAATTTCATGATGTATTGACAATTGCTTTTCATATTAAACTGGATACACACAACAACAAAATTCTCAAAATCATATCATCCTTCCTCTTCCTAACTTCTAAAAAAGGTCCTTATACGAAAATCATATGCTCCTTCATCTTCTTAACTAAAAAAGAAAGGTCCTCATACCAAAATCATA